GTGAGTGAGTGAGTGAGTGAGTGAGTGAGTGAGTGAGTGAGTGAGTGAGTGAGTGAGTGAGTGATGTGAGTGATGTGAGTGATTGATTGATTGATTGATTGAGTGAGTGAGTGAGTGAGTGAGTGTGAGTGAGTGTGAGTGAGTGAGTGAGTGAGTGTGAGTGAGGGGACGGGAGGGAACGGGAGGGAACGGGAGGCGGGAGGCGGCGGAGGAGAAGGAGGAGGAGGAGGAGGAAGGCGGATACAGAACTAAAAACAAAAACCCCACACGTCAACGTGGGGAAAAGGGATCTACAACGGTAAATGAAGACATAGTCCCCTGGCCGGAATTCTTGGATTACCCTGGTTCGGCCCTTTTCGACCTTTCCCTTCGACTGCTGGATGTTATAATCCACAAAGGCCTTTTGAGCGATCCTCCTCATCTCATAGATATGCTCAATGTCATCGACCATGTCAGGTTCAACGGGTTCCGGAGAAGCTTGCTTCAGAAAAATGTGTAGAAATAAAACGTTGCGGCTGTTAGGGGTACCACCAAAGCCTCTTTCTTATTTCCCAATGGTGTAAGCTAATGGGGTCTTCAGCCCAGAAAAGTTCTGGTGCGGTGCAGGCGCCGAGTCAGGTTCAACAGGAATCGGGAGAAGGTTCCGAAGGTTCCAAAGAAGCTTTAGTGCAGAGCCAGGTCACGTTCAACAAAGTTCCAGAGAAGATTCCAGAGAGGTTCCAGAGAAGGTTCCGGAGAATGTCTGGGAAGCTTTGGCGTAGAGTCAGGTCAGGTTCAACAAGGTTCCGGAGGCCCTCTTGGGTGCAATACGTCGCCTTCATCGGGATGTGGGCCTCAATGACCCGACGTATCACTGCCTAAATCATGGGGAGATGCATAAACCTGGAGACAAGTTGAAGCAGCTCCTGCTCTGTAGTGCCCTGCAACATGTTGACCAGGTAGTTGGGCAAGCTCGGGAAACAGGAGGGGAAAATGGAAAGCTTGGAGAATGCGTGATTGTCCGGGTCCTGTTGGAACCTCACTAAAATAAAGACCGGCCACTGGCTTAAACTCAAGCGTCGAGCTCAGGGCCTCTTGGTACCAGGCTGTCAACCGAGTAGCCCAACCGGCCCAACCCTGAGCGAACCGCCGGATGGCTTCGGCTGCTCGGGCACCGGGGTGTCACGGACCTGCAGGGCCCCAATCGCCGCCTGGAGTTGCAGCATGCTCTCCTGAAGCCCGTTGGAGAGTTCCTCAGGCCAGGAAGTCCGCAGCCTCCTCCTCATCCTTCTGGGCCTCTGACTCGGCCTGCGCCAGGTCCCACTGCTCATCGTCCGAAATCTTGTTGGAGAAGTCAACGTCCATCTGAGGACGCACATCCTTAGAATCATCCACCTGCATTGGTGCAGCCGGCGCTTCGCTGGCTGGCACAGGTCACAGGAAGCTGCGAAGCAGAGGACACGGTAAAGATCTGACAGCGAGCTTTTCGAAAGTTGATTGATGCAGATCAATCACAAGATTGTGTGCTTGAGCCAAATGTCCAGTGGACATTTTGGTTCGACGTTCCAAACATATGACTTGCAACCGCAAGATAAATGCGAGAAACAATAACATTATCAAACTCAAAAAACAAGGAAATGCCGCAGAATAGTTTCGTTTTCAAGCTTGCAGATAGTTATATAGATGTATAGAGAGAAAGATGGCCAGACAGACAGACAAAGAGAGAAACAAACAGGCAAACAAATAGACGCATAGATATACAAATAGATAGACAACTGCGATAACACTACAAATACAACTACAACTTCACAAACAAGTTCACCTACACTACAGCAACTACCACTACACTACAACTACAACTACAACTTCAACTACACTTCAACTAAAACTTGCAACTACAACTACAAATGCCATTACGCAACACTACAACTACAATTGCAAATGCAACTACAACTACTGCAACAACTACTACAAATACATTACAACTGCAACTGCAAAATAAACAACTGCAACTACAATTACAACTTCAACTACAATACATTGGATTACAACTACAGCTACACTACAACTACCACTACCACTACCACTACCACTACCACTACCACTACCACTAAACTACACTACAACTACAACTACAACTTCAGCTACACTACAACAACAATTACCACTACACTGCGCTACAACTACAACTACAACTACAACTACAACTACAGCTACAGCTACCACTCCTACAAATACTTCAAGTACTACAACTGCATGTACAACTACACTTCAACTACACAACCACAACAACAACCACAACAACAACAACAACAACCACTACTACTACTACAACAACTACTACTACTACTACTCCTCCTCCTCCTCCTCCTCCTGCTGCTGCTGCTGCTAATACTTCTCCTCCTCCTGCTGCTGCTTCTGCTACTACAACCACAACTACAACTACAACATTACAACTTCATCAACATCAACTACACTACAACTACAACTACAACGACAACTACAACTACAACTATGAGTACAATTACATTACACTTCGCTATGCCACACTACATCCTGCAGTTGTGGGTGAGGTGACCGCTGCAACCATTCCAAAAATAACAACCACCTTCGGCCTATCAGTGGATTCGATCTGCCATCCGTGATTTACAACATCCAACCTCTCCTATCGGTTTCCTATATTTGAAACTTCTGCCACCACCTTGTGCGGTACTACTGATATATTAATTTGGTATTGATTGTATAAATTGTATAATGTTTTGCCTGCAATTGGTATCCTCAAAAGGTTTCCGGGTACCCTGAGCCTAGAATTCAAACCGTACGGAATTCAAGAAGATGCCTGGAAATATCTAAAAGCTATCCCAATTTGCCTTGGCAATTGGCTACGTGGCTTTCTTCCTAATACGCAAACAGCGGCTGCCACTCCTACAGAAAACCCCGCACACGAAATTAAAACATTATTATTTTAATATAAATATATATATATAATTAAATATAATATATTTAATTTCTGAAGGTCGGTACCTGATTTCCGTTCTCTATCCCTCCAAACTTCGTCCTCCGCCGTCCGTCCTCCATCCTTCGTCTTCCGGCCGCCCTCCATCCCCGCGCTTCGTCCTCCATTTTTCTTCCAGGGACCTCCAATATCCTCTAAATTTGTGCCCCCAGTGACCTTTCGATACCTAAATCAATAAGTCGTCACCTGAATCACCTTTTCGTGACGTAAAAATATACCCCGAGTACAATTCTGCAAATCGAGCGCTTTTGCTTACAACAATGCATTCAAGGAACTCTTCAGCCTACTGCCTACCTTTGTCCGAGCCGTAGCTACTTGTCATTGAATGTTTGCAATTTTCTAGGGATACACAGACCCAAATGAACAAACACATAGCTGAAAAGGTGCGCAAAACGGGCGCAAATCGGCGTAGAAAAGTATAAACGGGCGCAAATCCAAAAACAATATTATTTCTCACGCATGTCTATTTGTGTTTATCTGTACACCCCAATACCACTTGTAGAGAAAACTGCAAAGCCACGACTCGTAAAAACCCAAGACAAGCAGATTTTTGAAAAACAAACGCTTTGTTCCGTCATGAGCTTTTAAGGCGGAACTCAACGTCATGTAAATTTATGTTACGAGGGTGTTTGTTAAGGCCAATCTGAAGGAATCAACCGCTGGCCAAATACCGGCCCCGAACCACATCAACCACCATGAAATACAAACACCATATCATTTTGGGTCGCAATAAGCCCACGCAAATGGGCAACAAAATGCCAAAATATGTCATTGTCCAACCTAAAACTTCTTCTGCAATCGTCCTCAGAAATATTAGCTATGAGCTAGGGGGAAATAGTCCGGTAAAAACGACCAAAACAGCAGCTTTGTTTTTGCATTTTGGATCATAATAAAGGTACCTGTTATGTGTATATATATATATATATTCTGTAAATAGATTGGCAAGTAAACTATTCATTCTCTAATGCTCTTTTTACCATATATTTAGTTTACGACATATTTATGTTCTGTCTTTTAGTGTATATGTTTTTACAGTTTTATATACATATGTAATATTTCATTTTTTCAGTATTTCAGGCATAATCGAATAGATATGCTCCAAAGAACTGACCTTCAAACAATCAGGCTACGGAATCGGAATGCTAGTGCCGTGGTAGGTATCGGTATTACATAATTTGGTTTTCCTAGAGTTTGATTTTTGAAAACATGATGCAATGCTCTATTTTGCGCTTGAACAACGCGTTCATTGGGGTGGACTTCGGTGTGTTGGACGAGTTGGGCATCAAAAGATATCATTTTCCTGCCGCAACAGACTTCATGGATGGAATCTTTAGTATTTCGCCCGTCATGACGACATGGGTCTGCACATTTTTGAGCTACAAATATCTTGGGATCCTTTGGCAGAAAATGACATACTTTTTGCACGATCGTAAATACACCGCTAGGAGCCCTTCGGGGCTTTTTGTCTTGCCGAGTGACAGCTTGGGAAGCTGAACTTCTGGTGCTTTCTGCTTCGCAGGCTGCAAGAACCTCACCGCACATCCAAAGTAGGCTTGCTGCATCTTCCAAAACTTCACTAGCAGCAATTGCCTGCAGCCTCGCAATATGGGGAATGGCGATTGAAGTTCCCACATCACGCCAAGCTGCCACATCATAAGTTGCCATGGTGGGAACCAGCCTCGCCCACTGGTGTCAAGCATGTTCACAGCTTTAAAGACATGATTGCTCTCTGAAGCCAACTGCAGAAACAGCAACACTCATCTACGAAGTATATGCAGCGAATCGTTGGGGGAAATCCTGTCACAAATTCACATAAAACACGTGCAAATATACTCCGATCCGGCCTGTAAAGGCTCATGTTCTCCTGCAATCTTCGGATCATCATAGAGCCACTTCTGCGCACGGCAGAAAGAACGCTGTTGTAGATAACCTGTAAACCATGTCAACTCCGGAGACTCTGAAGACCCAAGGACCATCTTCCAGCTTTCTGGCCCGCAATTTGCAAGCTGAGAGCAGGGACCAGTCTTAAAGCATCAACTTAACCACCAAACAGGATGTGCTTCTTCAATAGTAGCCCTTGCCATTGATTCATTGGTTTCGGCCCACTTTTTTGGGAGGATGTGAAGTCACGTGAGATCTTTAAAGTCTCTCATGGCTCATCGGCACGCAGCTGTCCGCAAGTTCAGCACACTTGGGCAGCAGTTTGGGGGACTGTCAGCATTCCGCCGAGATACAACTGTTGGATCCAAGGCAGCAAAAACCAGGTCCTGCCGCAGTTCGGCTCTGGTGTTGCGCCGATGACAAACAAGGCACGGCCGCACTACGCTGCAAACACGTAGCGGTATGTTGCGGTTCTTTGGATCTTTAGTAGCTGGGACTTGCAGTCCCTCACCTGCAGCAGGCTCATAGAAACACGCCACCGCCTTCCAAGCAGGTCAAATGTGGCGCAGTGAGAACTTCCAAAACTTTGCTTTTGATGTACCAAAAATCACAGAAACAGAGGTCAGCTCCTTCGGCTGAATCAATTCCACTCTTAATGGATACTTACTGTTATGCTGTTTTCGCCACACTGGTGATCGGGGTTTGTCACGGCCTGGAAGCCTCACAAGCCGCCAAGGCTGCACCAGTGGCCACTGCACTGAACGCCTGTACCCGTCCACACTCGAATCACTATATTTGGCAAGACTGAAATCCGATGCAAACCACGATCACAGGATGTGTGCAATTTAATGCATTTCTTATCACGCAATGCTATTGTAAATGTAATGTAATGTGATACGTGCACAATGTAATGTATGTAACAATTGTGATCACATTTGTTGGCTGATCAACTTCTGGCACAGGCTACGTGCCTGGTTTGTCTTGGATGCTGCAAGCACTGCTAGAGCTTGGGACCAAGCCTTTCAGGCCAGCAGCTTTCACGATAGACAAGGGCAAGGGTTGCTGACAGAACCCGTTTGGAAAGGACAGGTCCTCATAGACATCTGCGAATCACCAAAGATAGCCACATTTTCTGAACAGTTCCAGAAGCCGTTCCACAACCACTATATTCCACAAGTGACTTTCTACCAAGCTGCTCCAAGTGAGCATGCTGCTGTCAAGGAGGCCCAGGTGACAACATTGGGCTGAAGCAGCAAAAATCTCATTTCCTGTTGAAGAATGGCGACATGTAATGCGCAATTGCGAGGTGCGCAATCTTATCCGAACGAAACTCTTGAGGGCATGTCCACGACAACACAAACTGATCCCCACAAGACCGTTCAAGAAACGTTCCTTGCAACTGAACTGTCTGAACCTTGGTTCCAGCAAAAAAACAGTCCCAGCGTAGGCATGTTCAGAGGAGGTCCTGCAATAGACTCAAACCAATCTGCCACTGCTGCCCACGGCCGCATGCCTCAATACCTGAACAATTCCCTTGTGCACAAAATGGCGTCTGCATCAAGCAATAATCAAAATTTGGTCACGGAAAGTCAACGCTAGGGAATACTATATGTACACGGCGTACACCTGTCCATACACCTGTCCATACACCTGTCCATACACCTGTCCATACACCTGTCCATACACCTGTCCATACACCTGTCCATACACCTGTCCATACCGTTGTCTTTTCCCTGAAGAACTATCTGTCAGAGATACACAGGGAAAATTCATTTCAAGACTCGAGGGCGCACATGCGCTGAAGGCCACGGCATCCGCTTTGGACGGTCCAAGGTGGTCAAAAACAGTTAATGCCTGTTGCCATTCATGAGCGCCTGCAGAACACGGACGCCATGTCTAGGTACAATTTGTAATAAAAGGAAATTCACAGAGGAGGGCAGTGGCCAGAGGTTCGCAATGGAACTACAGCATCAGTGTATAATATATAATTCTACATTGTGTAAATATAAATATAAATATATAAATATATACACATGTAAATATATAAATATAAATATAAATATATACATCATAATTTTGATAAATGTATACCTGAGAAGGTTATGACGGAAGCCAGCTCGAAACTGGCGATGTGAAATTTGATGGAAGGTAGCGCAAAACCTATTCTTTTTTCTGTTTCTAAATGGTCTCTACGTCTCATCTCCCACAAGTCTTGTTTACGACGCCGAGCGCCAAACTCCGATTTCCATTTTGATGTTTTTTTAATGGCCTCTCGTTTTTCTGTTTCTAACTGGCCTCTACATCTCATCTCCGACAAACCTTGTTTACCCCCCCAAGAGTTTAGACTCCAAGAGCCAGCTCCGATCTCTATTTTCTTGTTTCTAAATGGCCTCTAGGTCTCATCTCCCACAACTCTTGTTTACAACTCCAAGAGCCAAACTCCGATCTCCATTTTTATGTCTCTTAATGGCCGCTCGTTTTTCTGTTTCTAACTGGCCTCTACATCTCATCTCCGACAAGCCTTGTTTACGACCCGCAAGAGCCGGACGAGGGGGGAATCGATACCCCACCGTCACTGAACTGCGACACTGTATAGTACAGCACCCTCAAAACGTACCCATGTGCCCACCTAAAACACCACCTAAGTTCGTGTTTTCTGGTTTCTTTTGCACGACCTGCCCCCAAACCCCTTAGACTCACTTTGTTAGTAGTAATAACTTTAGCCTAGCCTGCCGGCTGGTTTCCGTATTTTGATGTTTTATATTTCATATACATATACATATACATTTACATATACATATACAATATATATATAACCGCACGAAGCGGTAGCGGAAGTTTCAAATATAGGAAACCTATAAGAGAGGCTTGGTTGTTGCGATGCATGGATGGCAGAGCGAACCCACTGATGGACCGAAAGGTGGTTGGAGTTGTGCTTTTTGGAATGGCTGCAGTGGCCACCGGATGCACACCTGCTGGATGTAGTGCAATATAGTTGTAGTGATTGGCGTAGTGTAGTTGCAGTTGTAATTGTACAGTAGTGTTGTTTAGTGTAATTCGAGTTGGCGTTATAGCTGCAGTGTGGTTGTAGCTGTAGTTGTGCTGTACTTGTAGTCAATTGTAGTTGTAGCTGTGTTGTAAGTTGTAGTTGTAGTCGTAGTTGTAGTTGTAGTGTAATGAAGTGAAGTGTAGTTGTAGCTGGAGTTGGAGTGTAGTGTAAATAGTGTAGTGTAGATTAGTTAATGTCGTGTAGTTTTAGCTGTGGTTGTAGGTGGAGCTGTAGTGTAGATCTAGTTTTAGTTTTAGTTTTAGTCTTAGTTTTAGTTGTAGTTGTAGTTGTTGCACTTGTAGTGGTACAGGTAGTGCTAGTGTTAGTGTTAGTGCTCACTTTTTCGATATCTGAACGCCCACAAGTGGTCCGGGACTGTCAGTTTTGAAAACTCACGCCACAACAGCGTGCACTTTTTCGACATTGCAACCTCCAAAAGTTGTCCAAACATATGGCGTTTTAGCCTTTGACTTCAAAATGTGCTTCGCGCCACAATGGCGTGCACTTTTTCAACGTCTGAACTGCCAAAAATGCTCCGAACAGGTGATGTGCTTTGTGCATTTTGACTTCGAAATGTGCTTTGCGCCGCAACGGCGTGCACTTTTTCAACATCTCAACTTCCAAAAGTGCTCCGAACGCGAGGTGGCTTGCACATTTTGACTGCGAAAAGTGCTTCGCCCCACAACAGCGTGCACTTTTTCAACATCTCAACTGCGAAAAGCTGCTCGGAGCTGCAATGTTTTGCGCATTTTCACTTCGACCTGCGCTTCGCCCCACAACAGCGTGCATTTTTTGATCTCCCATATGACCAGGTGGCTCCGGAGCCACAAAACATTGGGAAAACACGGCGTTTCCCGACTTTCCTAGATTTTCGCGCAACGTCATCTTCGGTCTACTGATCTTCTTTCTGCTGACCTTCTTTCTACTGACTCTATCTCTTCTCTGCCTGCTCTCACCACCGTTGCTGCATCTGTCCAAAAGTCGGAAGTTTGACTTCTAAACTTCCTTCGGTCAACATGTAAGTTCAAATTCCACTAGAAGCTTGGGACTTAAAAAAGACACAAGTAGACGCGAAGTGTGTCCAAAGAAAACGAACGTGCGATCTCACGCCTTGACAGGCAGTGATGCAAGCGCTACAGGCAATGACATCCTGGGCTGGAAAAGTCAGACCCCGCAGCGGCCACAATGTATTCATATCACATGTATACTAGTATCATCATGCGTTCATCATGATACATGTATGAATATGTAACTAAATTTTATAGATATATATTTATTGTATATATGTGTGTGTGTGCTCATATGTTTGTCTATATCTATATTTATTCTATATGTGCAGATGTATATCTATATTTAAATTCTATACGTAATGACATTCAAAGCGGTCTACAGGAGGAAACGTGCCACAGAGTCTTTCCAGTGTCAGGATATCCACCTTTCAACAGACCATGCATCATGCGGAAACGCCCCAGCAACACCAAGACATTTTGCAGTAGCTTGCAACTACTTTGCACAGCATATCCAAATAGATCCAACGATGTCGAGCAATGCCAGTCCGAATCCGAAAAAAGAGAAAAATCATCTGGCTGCCGCAAGTGTTGAATACGACTTTTCTCACTAACCATGCTTCTTTAAGAAGGTTTACACGTTGTTTACACGTCTTTACCAATGTTTTTCCCGTGAGGAATTCTTGCACCCTCCAAGACACCCCGAGCGGGACAAAATCTGCCGGAACTCTGCCCCGCCAGGGAGCCCTTGCGACGCCACATCCAGAATCTTCAGGGCCTTTTGCCACAACTGCTGTGCAGCACACGCGCTGATTGCCGCATTGCAAAGAGCACCTGAGCAAATGCCTGGAGAAATTCGAGGCACTCGCAATCACTCACACTTGTTCAAGTGACCACAGAGGATTGTGCCACCGAGCGTCCTGTTTGAATGCCAATGTCTTGGGCAAACTCTAAAAGCCTCATGAGACTTGGGTGCTTTACTGCCTGACCCTGGACAAACATAAACAGCACATCCGAATTATTGTGGAAGTTTAGAAGTTAAACCTCCGACTTATTATGGACAGATGCATAACAGTGGTGAGAAGAGTCAGAGAAGAGAAAGAGTCAGAAGAAAGAAGATCAACGTGCGCGAAAAGGTAGAAAAGTCGCGAAGCACTGTGTTCTTCCAATATTTTTGTGGCTCCCGGAGGGTCCAAAAGTAAGCTCGCTAAAGCGACGGGCGCGGAGTCATCTGGCAGGATGAAATATCAAAAATTGCACGCCCCAGTGGTGCGAACACGTGTGGAAGCCAAAATGGTAAAAACACCTCAGCGTCGGAGCGCTTTTGGAAGTTGACTTGTTGAAATGCGCGCAAAGCACATTTCTACGTTCAAAGCCCCCCGTTCTCGGACCACTGTTGGAAGTTGAGATGTCAAAAAAGTGCACGCCGTTGTGGCGCGAAGCACATCAAAAGTGAAGTTCGGATGTGGCTTGCGTGGCAAAGGCAATGGATTCTGGACCTTGCCAAAAGCGAGCAAAACGTGAGGATTTCGTAGCAATTTGAAAGATGGCAGGCGTGGGACGTTGGAAAAGGATCTGCAAAGATGCATGTCGCGTGGCACAAGAGACTGGTTTTCTGAGATGGGTTGCCTTTGGAGCATCAGATCTTCAGGTTTTGCTAAGATGACTTTGCGTGACAGGCGCAGCACTGCGTATGACCAGGCGTCACATTGTCATGGCAGGCGTTATACTTTAGACAGATGGAATGGAAAAATCGCAAATCTTAATGGTACGAGGCCGTCAGCTCTGCACTCAACTGTCATTTTTGAAGGATGTCTCACAGAATTGCTTCGTTTTTGACAGTGTCAATGTCAAAAGTTGAAGAAGTCGCGCCGAACTTCTTCGTTTTGGAGCTCTCAATGTTTGCGTTTTGGACCTTTCAACTTCCACCCTTGAAGGAAGCCTGGCTTAATTGCTTCCTTTCAGAAAGAAAGAAAGATAGATAGATAGGTTGATTGATAGATAGATAGATAGACAGATAGACAGATAGACAGATAGACAGATAGACAGGCAGACAGACAGATAGATTGATAGATAGCTAGATATCTAGGTAGCTAGGTAGATAGATAGCTAGGTAGCTAGGTAGCTAGGTAGCTAGGTGGCACGGTGGCACGGTGGATAAGTAGATAGGTAGAAGGGTAGATAGGTAGATAGGTAGGTAGGTAGATAGATCAATGGATAGATAGATAGACAGAGAGATAGAGAGACAGAGAGATAGAGAGATAGAGAGAGAGAGAGAGACAGATAGATAGAAAGAAGGATAGATAGATGGATACATAGACAAGCAGACAGACAGATACATAAATAGACAGATGGATAGGTAGTCCAGTCGGATAGATAGATAAAAAGAAAGATAGACAGATAGATAACAAACAGATAGATAGATAGATTAGATTAGATTAGATTAGATTGGATTGGATTGGATTGGATTAGATTAGATTAGATTAGATAGAATGAGATGAGATGAGATGAGATGAGATAAGATTAGATTAGATCAGATAGATAGCTAGATAGATAGAAAGATAGATAGATAGGTAGATAGATAGACAAATAGGTAGATAGAGAGATAGATAGATAGATAGATAGATAGAAAGACAAATAGGTCGATAGATAGATAGATAGGTAGGTAGGTAGGTAGATAGATAGATAGTTAGATAGATAGATAGATAGATAGGTAGATAGGTAGATAGATAGACAAATAGGTAGATAGATAGACAAATAGGTAGATAGATAGATACATAGATAGATAGATAGATAGATAGACAGATGGATGGATGGATAGATAGATAGATAGATGGATAGAGGATAGACTCAGACAGATATAGACAGATATAGACAGAAATGGACAGATATAGACAGATATAGACAGATAGTCACGACGTAGTCACGTAGACAGACAGTCATGTAGACGGATAGCCACGTAGACAGATAGTCACGTAGGCAGATAGTCACGCAGACAGATAGTCATGTAGACAGATGGCCACGTAGACAGATAGTCACGTAGACAGATAGTCACGTAGACAGATAGTCAGATAGGTAGGCAGGCAGACAGACAGATAGGTAAATAGATAGATGGATGGATGGATAGATACACAGAGAGAAAGAGATAGAGAGAAAAAGAGACGCAGAGAGATAGAGACACAGAGAGAAGGAGACACAGAGAGAGATAGAGAGAGAGAGAGAAAAAGAAAGAAAGAGAAAAAGAGAGAGGGAGAGAGAGAGAGGGAGGGAGGCAGAGCCAGAGCCCGAGCCAGAGTCAAAGCCAAAGCCAAAGCGAAAGCCTTCGGTCCATCAGTGCCTTCCCTTCGTTCTGCAGCTATTTTTGCTTCACAACAACCCACCGCTCCTATAGGTTTCCTATATTTGCAACTTCCGCCACCGCCTTGTGCAGTACTACTGGTGGGTACCTGTAGTAGATGGACGGACAGACAGCCAGCCAACCAAAATCAACAAATTCGACGGAGCCTTTGGGTCTTAAGGTTCCTGCTGCAGTGAAAATGTCCACAGCTGCCTGCACAAGTGACAAGTCCTCTACATCACGGAGGCACCGTCCTATGCCAGTGGGAACTGATCTCTTCACATCTTTTCACCTTCCATCCCGTGCAACACTCCTACGGGTTCTACGAAGTCATCCTACCTCTGCGCAAGAGTTGTAAAGGACACTGCAGTGAGTGGCCTCAGATCCATCGATTGCATTGATCCACTGCGAGATGTCGACTTTGGCATCTCTGAGAACACAACAAGTTGGCTGCTGGTGCCAGGTTCAAAAGGGCATGGGCTTGTGGCCACCTGCGACCAAAGGAATGAAACAAAATGATGTAATCACAAGAAGCGGACTGTATTGAGATGCATCATGCGTGCATATGTTGCTGGTGATTTCAACTGCTCGCGAGAAGCTCCACCTGACAACTTGAAAATCTGTGACATTTTCAAGCACGTAGCTCTGAGCCTACCAGCATCGTTGGCGGCACTGGCCAATGAGTTCCACACAATGATGTCGGATTGCACTGATTGTGACCTCAGAAATGCTTCTAACTGCTGACAGAATCACAAACTCGGCTTGCCGTGCATCGGCAACCGAAACTTTTTGGATTGCATCAAACTTCAAGTTTCAGATTGTTATCGTTTAAGCTGCAAATGCCAACCTAACCTCACAATTTTGTCAGTGATCCAGCGGGTCCAACATTCTATCTACAGATCGCCAACACATGGCTTGCAAAGGGCGCGGTCGAATACGGAAAACCCGAGTCCTCGAGAACCATCTGCAGAAGCAACGATTCGATACCATTCGCCCCAAGATCTAGCGGACACCGGAAAAAGCCAACTGATTGGGTGAGACCGTACGCGGTGTCGACAGCTGAGAGTGGCCTTGGATGGGGACCACAACCAGGAGCCTGTTTGGCGTCAAATTTCATGCTATTGGGCCATGAGTACTGATTAGTGTTGATTCAGCTGGAATCCAAGTTCCCAGGATTCTTGCTGCCGAGGGGCAGGCATCACTCGCCATAAGGAAAGCATTCCGCAGATTCTTGCATGAAACTTAGGTGCTCAAGCGCTTCTCCCACCCAGCAATTCCATTTTGAACTTGCCCATGAATCCTAAATCCTAGGTCCTATTGTTAGGCCAATCGTATGCATCATGCATTTGCAGCAATCGTCAAAATGAAGCTTGGCGGGCCATACAAACAACATATAAGAAAATTAAAGGACCGGAAAACCCCACAAGTCAACTTCTTCCGATAATCAGAAAGAGTGGTTGAAGCGGCACGGAGAAAGAAGAAAGGACAAAAGAGATGGTGGAGGATCGATCATTTTTCAAAGTTGTATGTGAAGAGTTGTGTGTAACAAAGTTGTGTGTGAAAGAGTTGTGTGTGAAAGGTTGTGAGTGAAAGAGGTGTGTGTGTGCGTGACAGATTGTGAGTGAAAGAGTTGTGTGTGAAAGCTGGTCGGTGAAAAAGTTGTGTGTGAAAGAGTTGTGTATGACAAAGTTGTTTGTGACAAAGCTGTGTGTGAAAGATTGCGTGCGTGTGTAACAAAGTTGTGTGTGAAAGATCGTGTGTGACAAAGTTGTGTGTGACAGATTGTTTGCGACAAAGTTGTACAAAGTTGTGTGTGAAAGAGTTGCGTGTGTGTGTGTGACAAAGTTGCGTGTGACAAAGTTGTGTGTGAAAGAGTTGTGTGTGTGTGTGACAAAGTTGCGTGTGTGTGACAAAGATGTGTGTGTGAGAGAGAGATCTGTGTGAAAAAGTTGTGTGCGAAAGCGTTGTGTGTGACAAAAATTGTGTGTGACAAAGTTGTGGATGACAAAGTTGTGTGCGTGTGAAAAAGTTGTGTGTGTGTGACAAAGTTGGGTGTGAAAGATCGTGTGGGACAAAGTTGTGTGTGTGTGTGACAAAGTTGTATGTGTGAAAGATGCTGTGTGACAAAGTTGTGTGTGAAAGATGGTGTGTGACAAAGTGTGAAAAATGGTGTGTGACAAAGTTGTGTGGGAAAGATGGTGTGTGACAAAGTTGTGTGTGACAAAGTTGTGTGTGAAAGAGTTGTGTTTGAAAAAGCTGTGTGCGACAAAGTTGCATGAGAGAATGAGAGTAAGAGAGAGAGAGAGATGTGAAAGATAGTGCGTGACAAAGTTGTGTGTGACAAAGTCGTATTTGAGAGCGATGGACTCGCTTGCAGCGTGGATGGTCCCAAGTACCACGCCTGTCACGCCAAACGAAGGTCGATGTCGCCAAGTGCCACGCCTGCCAACGTAGGTGGATGTCGCCACGTGCCACGCCTGCCACGCAAAGTGCCGCGGCCTCACGGGCGACTAGCGGCGCCCAAACGCGCTACCAGAGCCAGCCCAGTGCTGTAAGTGCCACGCCTGCCACACAAAGAGAGTGCGGATGTCTGAAAGCGCCACGCCTGCCACGCAAAACGAAGGTGGATGTCGCCAAGTGCCACCCCTGCCACGTGAAACGAAGGCGGATGCCACCCTACTACGCAAAGTGCCGCGGCACCACGGCAACCAACGGCTGCAAGCTCGCCACCAGACCCGGCCCAGTGTCATCCTGCCACGCAAATGCTATATGTCCATGTCGCCAAGTGCCACACCTGCCACGTAAAATGTTACGTCCATGCCGCCAAGTGCCACGCCTGCCACGCAAAGTGCCGCAGCGCCACGGGCGACCAAAGGCGCCCAAACGCCACCAGAGCCAGCCCAGTGTCATAAGTGCCGCGGCTGCCACGCAAATGCTACGTCCATGCTGTGTGTAAAAGATGGTGTGTGGCAAAGTTGTGTGTGAAAAAGTTGTATGTGACAAAGTTGTACGTGTGACAAAGTTGTATGTGAAAGATGGTGCGGGACAAAGTTGTGTGTGTGACAAGGTTGTATGTGACAAAAATGTGTGTGACAAAGTTGTGTGTGTGTGTGACAAAGTTGTATGTGGCAAAGTTGTGTGTGTGTGACAAAGTCGTGTGTGAAAGATGGTGTGGGACAAAGTATAACAAAGATGTGGTGTGTGTGAAAGAGGGTGCGTGACAAAGTTGTATGTGACAAAGTTGTGTGGCACAAAGAGGTGTGTGACAAAGTCGTGTGTGAAAAATGGTATGTGACAAAGTTGCGTGTGACAAAGTTGTGTGTGTGTGACAAAGTTTTGTGTGTGACAAAGTTGTATGTGACAAAGTTGTGTGTGTGTGACAAAGTCGCGTGTGAAAGATGGTGTGGGACAAAGTCTGACAAAGTTGTGTGTGTGAAAGAGGGTGCGTGACAAAGTTGTATGTGACAAAGTTGTGTGGCACAAAGAGGTGTGTGACAAAGTTGTGTGTGTGACAAAGTTGGGTGTTAAAAAGTTGTGTGACAAAGTTGGGTGTGAAAGATGGTGTGGGACAAAGTTGTGTGTGTGTGACAAAGTTGTATGTGTGAAAGATGGTGTGTGACAAAGTCGTGTGTGAAAGATGGTATGTGACAAAGTTGTGTGTGACAAAGTTGTATGTGACAAAGTTGTGTGTGTGTCAAAGTCGTGTGTGACAAAGTTATATGTGACAAAGTTGCGTGTGTGTGTGGAACATCTGAAAAGATGTAAAACTTCCTATAGCTTTGACTTGGTTCAATTTTACTTCGTACTTGCAGGGGAGATGTAAAACTTCCTATTGCTTTGACTTGGTTCAATTTTACTTCGTACTTGCAGGGGGGCAGTGCACGACTGACAGACACTGCCCAACGAAGACACTGTCAGTTCGTGGTGATACAGAGCCTGATCAGCTCTGCGTACCTGCATCAATTTTCATTTCTCTGCATGGCAACCGGCTAAGCCAAGTACCGGCATGTCGTTCAAAACCGTTTCAATTTCTGCACTGTTGTCGCAATCTGGCATTATTTTATTTTATTTTGGACTTCGCTGCATCAGAACCTTCTTCAGAATGTTTACTTCACACTGAAATTCACGCTGGATCAACTAATTTTTCCTGGCAGTTTGAAAGGGATTGTTTTGTGCACGTTTGATGCACTCCACAACAAAATTCGCAATGTTGTTTCTGAGCAAGTGTGTCATTCCTGCTGTATACGTCAAGTTGGCAGGAACCCTTCGGGGAAAGCCTTTCCAGGGTAACAATTGACAGTAAAACGATGTCTGAATTTACACTTTTGAATTAGTAATTCGTTTAAGTAAAGTGAACTGCTGGCCTTTTTTCTGGTCTCACCGGTCGATGTCGATGTGTTGAACTGCTGCCCGCTGAGCCTGGGATCATCCTTTTTCATTTGCGGCTTTGCATAGCTGGACGTCACGTTAACAATTCCTTTTCAACTTTGCTCAAGAGAGTACGGAGCTCGATATTTTACTGCATGACATGTGACCATGTGAAGGCTTCAGGACATTCCTGCAGGTGTGGTGTTTCTTTCTTTTTATGGTCGTTGGTGAGGTTCAATTGTGCATGTAATTCATTTGAATACTGACAGCTGTCGATGGGGTTGAAATGAATGCCGAGGGCCTTTGAGCCTTATCACGAATACTGCATGAGTTGTGGATGCATCCAATGTTTGTGTGTTTTTACCATTAAAGTGATCGTCTGACAGTGCTGCCAGACCTGTTATTTTTGGCCATGTTTCCTGGTCGTTGGCCAAACTTTTCGGAGAACATGTGGAACTGTGGCTGGTCATCGCCTGCCTTTACTTCACCTCAACCTGCAGCACAATTTGGTCAATTTTGTGGAGGTGGTCTGATGAACCAACAGTCTCAAGCTCAGTCACAAGCTCAGACTCAAGCTCAGTTGGCTCAGTTACGGGACCAAAATGCATTACTGCATCAACAGTTGAATTCCCAAGCTCAGACCCATATTCAGCAACTCCAACAGCTTCTCCCATTCCATCAGACTCCCCAACAAACCGCATCTCATCAAAATCCTCCTTCAGTGCCTGAGCCACCAACGGTGCCACCAGTCCAGACTCCTCCTGTTCCAACTCCATCTCAACCCGCTCCACAAGAGCCACATCCCACTTTCAATCCAGAAGAGATGATGCAACAGATGCGCAACACAGTGGAATCTGGCATGCAGGCGTTTATGGAAATGACCAAAGAAAGGTCTAAGAGCCCTCATGCAAGTGGGGTTCCACTCCCACCAGCGACTCCAGTCGCAGAATCTCCACCCATTGTCCCATTACCACCACTTCCACGGCTTCATCGCCGTTCCAGGTCACGGTCTCAACATATTCCGTCTCAGGTGGACAAACGTCCCATTTCGATCCCGAAAAGTCCAAGACGTCACAGACGGGATAGCCGTTCCCGCCAACATCGTCGACGTTCCCGCTCACGGGATGACTCCATGTCTCCAGGCCGTCCCCAGTCAGTCACTCTTCGTTCCAACTCTCCACGTCACCGGGAAGACCTACATCAACGTGAGGAACTTCGACGCCGTGATGAGTATACTTATCCATCCACTACACAGCAACCTCCATCTTGGCATGACCATCACTACGAACAACCTTCAATTTCCGACAAGTCGGACTACCAAGACTATTCCACCTACCCTGACTACGGCTCCA